TGTCGTGTATTTACACCAATTGCCACGTTAAAACCGACTCCTATGTGTCATGCTGGCTCTGCGATGGGATTGCCCATATAAAATGTGCTGGTTTAAGCGGTAGAGTATTAGACGCTATTAACGAGGGTAAGGGTCTTCGTTGGTCTTGTCAAAAATGTAGATCAACCGAAGTTGATTTATTTAAATTCTTAAGGCAGTCCAGAAATGGTTTTTCTGAGATCGGGAAGGATCGGTCAGTGCTTGTTGAGAAGTTTAAGCATTACGAAAAAATGTTTAGGTATTTCACTTGTCTCGACAACCCTCCACACTCTGAGGAAAGCCAAGAAAATAAAGGTGGGCGTGTTAGTAGTCCACCTAAAAAGACAGCCACGGATTCTAGTAAAAAAATCCTCCATCCCAGTCCTTGGAACTTATTAATCTATCTTCTCCATGCCCTCAGGCATTGGAGCCTCCGATATCTAAAGCCATATCCACTAGGTCTACTTCTAAAAATAGTCAAACCGTTTATTTAACAGTGTTGCCATCAACATCTCAAGCTGCACTGCCTAACTTAGTTCCTCCGAATAATTCGGAGCCCCGCACATCAGACATCATTACCAAAAAGTTGGTTGTAATTCCTCCGAGAAGATCAATCTTTGTCTCTAGATTTGATAAAGATACTTCTTCGGATGACATAAAGTCATACATATCGACTAAAATTAGAACTAAAGATGTATTTATTCGTAAATTTAATTTTAAATACGATCGCGATATTTCATCTTTTAAAATTGATGTAGCTTCCGAAGATTTTGATTCAATACTAAACAGTTCATTTTGGCCGACCGGGGCGTTTGTTCGCGAGTTTGAGTATAAACCTAATAAAAGTAACAATAACGTAGCTAAAATTTCTAATCTTAATCCGGATTCAAAAAACTAACTCGCAAGTCTACTTTAAGTATTTACTATCAAAACGTTAGAGGTTTGAATACCAAATTAACTGACTTATACTTAAAAGGTTTTGACTGCAATTATAATATTATTTCCTTGACCGAAACATGGCTCAAACCTCATATTTTTAATTCCGAAATTCTTCCAAATGAATATCAAATATACAGGAGTGACCGCGTGGGCAGAATCGGCGGTGGTGTTCTTTTTGCGGTGCATTCATCGATACCATCCGAGGAGGTTAGTCTTCCTGTCATTGAATATACCGAATTTAAATGTATACGTGTACAGGCTGGAAAGACTTATATTTATTTAGCTCTTTGCTACATCCCTCCTAATTCTGCCGTATCAGTATATATGCAGCTAGTTTCTTTACTTGAGACCGTAAATGCAATGCTTACGGCATCCGATTCTATGATTGTTTTGGGCGATTTAAATCTGCCACACATTTCATGGAACATCATTGACACCGATGTTGTACCAGTTTCATCTAGAGATAGTTACAATGTATTTCTGGAGGAAATGGCTGAACTTTGCCTCAAACAAATAAATATATGTCCAAATAAGTTTGGAAAGGTCTTGGATCTCGTTTACGTTGATGATGTTCCGAAGGCCTCTATTAATCGTTGTGATCCCCTAGTTTTGTCGGAAGATGCATACCATCCTGCTCTTGAGTTAAGCTACGAAATCATAAATGAAATACATAATAATAAGTCAAGTTCAAGTACTAGATATGTTTTTGCGAAAGCAAATTTCAGGAAAATTAACTAAGAACTTTCAAAGTTATCTTGGCCAAAATATAGAGATGACGTGGAGCGTAGCCTTGAGCACTTTAATGATACTGTTTTCAATTTGTTTCGAAAGTATGTGCCAAAACGTAATATTGTTCATGAAGAACCAATACAATTATGGTTCACTAAAGAGCTTAAAAAATGGAAAATAAATAGTCACATTCTTTTAAACTGTGTAAAAGAACGGGCTTACTCAGTTTTGCGGCATAGCTACTTTGCATTAAATAAAAACCGTTATAAGTCATATTTATGTAAAATCAAGAAGAATTTAATCAACAATCCTAAATCATTTTATGGTTTCGTAAATTCAAAGCGTAAAGTATATGGTTTTCCGTCCGCTATGCATTGTCGCAACACTGTGTCTAGCGACAGCTAACTCATTGCCAACATGTTTGCCAAGTTCTTTAGGTCCAATTATTCTGTAGACTTCCCTATAAATGGAGACTATCCGTACGAGCTTTGTCCAACCAACTCTGCTTATATTCCAGTAATATCTTCCGATGAAGTTTTACACTATTTAAAAACCTTAAAAGCGTCATTTAGGCCAGGACATGATCATAGTCCGACCTGTTTTCTTAAAAACTGCGCTGAGAACATCTGCGAGCCTTTAACAACTCTATTCAATTTGTCACTTAAACATGGCGTTTTTCCGTCAGCCTGGAAGGAGTCTTTCATAATACCACTTCACAAAAACGGCAGCAGGTCCTCTATAGAAAACTATCGAGGCATAGCGAAACTCTCCGCAATCCCCAAATTATTTGAAGCAATTATTGTTAACCAGCTGACATATTCTATATATATATATATATATATATATATCTTCTTCAATTTCACAATCTCAACATGGGTTTTCTAAAGGAAAATCTACTATGACTAATTTATTGGAGTTTACAACTCATGTCTCAAACGGTTTTAGAGAAAATGCTCATACCAACGTAATATACACCGTTTTCAGTAAAGCTTTTGACAAAGTATGTCACTCGTTACTCATCCGTAAACTCGACCTAATCGGCTTTCAGCCCAGTCTTCTTCAATGGATCTCATCTTACCTCTCTGATGGAACACAAAGAGTTATTGTTAATAATTGTTCTTCCAACATCATTAAAGTTTCTTCGGGAGTTCCTCAGGGAAGCCACCTTGGTCCGATTCTGTTCCTGATATTCATTAATGATATTTCTTCTATAATAAAACATTCAACAATTTCAATGTATGCCGATGATGTGAAACTTTTTAAAACATTGTCCTCTATCGAAGAAAGGTCTTTGTTACAAGCGGATCTGAACAACGTGGTTAGTTGGTGTAATACAAACTATATGCCACTAAACCTTCAAAAATGTAAAGTTATGTGTTTCTCTCGGAGGGCTGTTCAACCAGCTGTTTATTCAATATCAAATTATAATCTGGAGCAGGTATCCAATTTTGTCGATCTTGGTATCACAATGGATTCCAAACTCAATTTCAACCATCATATTAATGTTACAGTCAATAAAGCCAAAGGCGTTTTTACATTTGTAAGGCGATGGTCAAAAGAGTTCAAAGATCCTTATGTTACAAAACCTCTTTTTACCAGTTTAGTTAGGCCTATACTAGAATACGGATCTATTGTTTGGAATCCCCCCCGCTACCAAGTTCATTCAGAAAGGATTGAATCAATTCAAAAACAATTCTTGCTTTTTGCATTGCGTAATTTTAACTGGGATTCAGATTACAATCTCCCCCCTTACACAAGTCGTCTAAAGCTCATAAATTTGCCTACACTCGCAAGTCGTAGAGAAATGCTAGGTATAATATTTATCGTAAAATTAATGACAGGCTTGATTAATAGCCCGGCCCTCCTGGCTGAGGTAAATTTTAATGTTCCTTCTCGAGTGTCAAGACACTTTCGACCTCTATTTTTAAAGCCATGCAAAACTAATTTTGACCTAAACGAATCATTCCGTGGTTTATGTCAAGATTTTAACTGTCATTCCAGCACGTTTGACGTATCGGACTCGATTTTTACTATAAAGAAAACTATTATTTCCACTCTCAATAATTGAAATACTATCTTTAGCATATCCAATCAGCTGATGAATTTGATTCTGTAGCTGAATAGTTTTAGAACTCGACACTTAACAAACTCCTGTTTCCTGTAATTAATTAATAATACCGTCGGCAAGAGTGATTTCGCACTCAAGTCTTTGGTATATGCAACCTTTAAAATCCATTATTCGTTTCAAATTTGCGCTGGCTACACTGGTTTGCGCACCGGAATCAAAACAAACCTGTCCAGGCAGACCAAACAATTGTACATTTGCAATTGGAATGTTTCTTCCAATTGGAATGTTTCTTCCAATTGGGATGTTTCTTCCAATTGGAATGGTTAACGAGTTAAAATTAACCGCACCATGTTTGCACATTTGGGGCAGTTTGCGCGTGTAACACCTGGCGCATTGCAACCGTAACATGCGAAAGTTGGTTTCGCCACTATTGCATGTGCAATCGCTTGTGTTTGTGCTTGCTTTGCTTCTTCGTTATTCTTCTTAAAACATACATACATCAGCATTATGACCTTTTTTGCGACAAAAACCGCATCGTACTGGACCACTTGTACTAACGACAGCTTTATCAGCGTTCACAGTCGGCGTTTTGTGTGCTTGCAGGGTCAACTCGGCTTCGCGAGCTTCGCTCAGTAAATCATCGAATGTATTAATTCACTTACGACTCACCCTGACCCGAATTTGCAAGTGCAGCATTTCAAACAAAATGTCGATTTGATCGGCTTCGTTCGGCACATTTGTGAGTTGGGCAAACAGTGTACGCTTTTTTCGAACAAAAGTGTCTGTCGGTTCATTTTTTTGTTGCTTACATTCAAAAATATCAAAGTATATTCGCCACGATGGTTTCGGAGGGGAAAAAGCTTCTCGGAGCATTCGAACAACATCGTCAAAAGCTTTTGCTTTTTCTTGTACACCACGCCACCATTCTGCGGCGTCGCCCTCTAGAAACATCGGCATACCTATGATTGCGTCGGCATCATTTATTTTCTCAACGGCTTTAAATGTCGCTACAGCAGCAATAAACTCCTCAACCTTTGTGGAGTCGCGTTCACCACCTTAACGAGCAGTACAATTGCTATACGAGCCAGCTCGTGTATTAAAATGGCCGACAGCTTGCATAAGCCGCTCGAATTGTTCGGTAGTAAATGGTTTTAAATAACTCGAGAGGTTTGCCACGATGTTGGGCGCCAAGTTATAAAATTATTATTATGCAGAAAATATAATTGACTTTATTGAAAAGTTTTTGAGCGTGGATTGTTTAGTACATGAATGTATAAACCTTAAACAAATTAAATTATTTACAAGGGAATTAAATAACATCAAATCGTATTATTTTGATAAATTTAGCGACCAGTTTGGCACTGTTCAACTAATTTGTAAAATACTATCATTAGAGACCAGCTTATCGCTGTTCGTCTAATGTAATAATAGAAGTAGTGTGTATATGTATGTATGTTTGTATAAGTAATCGGGCCACCACCGCAGCCCACGATTAATTACACAAGACTTACCTCTCGAGTGAACGTCTATCGCAAGTGAAGACGATCGCTCGAGGGTTCGCGCTTTTATAGTTACAGCGTAGGGCTTTTGTTATGCGTTCCAAAAGTAAAAGCTTTTTGTGGATTGCAACTTCACATATATTTGGAATGTACTCCAATGATTTCAACTATAGGGTTGTATTGTTTAAAATTCATTTTAGGCATATACTACTAAAATTAAATACTTAAGCTACAGTTTCAAAATATCTCGAGAACGGGGCGAGGACACATCGAAATTCTCTATGAAAAGAAATATTTAGAAAAAAAATTTTTCTTCAAAAATTTTTCACATACACATTTTTTTAGAAAAAAAATTCGTTTTTGAAAATATGCCATCTCAAAAAAAAATTGGAAAAAATCACAGTTGTAGCTCTGAGTATTGCCTAATATTTAAGTATTGTCTACAATAATATGAGTTTGCAGTTTTTTTAAACCGAAGTTGAGTAAAATGAGTACATTGCAAATTTGGAAATTGAAAATTTTTTTTTTTTAATTTTTTCTAGTATGCAGTTTATATAGCCCATTCCATTTTAGTATAATAAAGTGCAAGCTTTAAGCTACTGCAAAATTGCGTTGATTTTAAATATTTTTTATGCTGAGGGCTGTTTGCACTTTTTTCTTATGGAAGAAAATGCGCAAAGCCGTTTTCAAAGAAAATAAAAAAACGCCGATTTTGCAATCGCTTAAAACTTTCACCTTATTATACTAAAATTTAATGGGCTACAAAACTGCATACTCAAAAAAATTTAAAAAACTTTTAATGTACACATTTTACTCAACTTCGGTGTAAAAAAATTTATAACTCAAATTATTGTAGAGTGCACCCCATAATACTATACTTAAATATTGCGCAATACTCAGAGCTACCACTGTGATTTGGCATATTTTCAAGAACTATACTTACCGGCGCACAGTGTTTCGACTATATGGAGGCAGGTAGAAAAAAGACAGTTGATAAAAAAAAACCGGTTGGTTAGAGAGGGAAAAGTAAAAGTCATAAATACCAAATTTTACATTATTTACTCACCCCCTTCTTCACGAACGACACATTTCCAAAAAAAATACGGGAATGGGCGCGATACCGACTAAACAGTTAAGTTGCTTTTGGCGATCAACCCATTAAAAAACTGTTTCTTTTTCAACTGTAATCAAATATTTAAGTGTCGTGGAATATTCAGGTGAAGGTATTTATCATTTATTTGGTACTTCTTACCAAAAAATTTACTTTAAAATGTAGATGGGAGGTTCTATGGGAAAGTGAACCTCAGTGCAAAAATTATTTTTTTTATAAAACTAACAAACGTGTGGATAAGAAATTTGTAAAAATCTTGAATCAACCAAAAAATAACAGATTAAAGCTTTAAATGCATTTTTATTAATTTTTTTTACGTTTTGAAATCAATTTATAAGCATGATACAAAAAAGAAGGTAGTTCCATTGTCACATTTTCGTCGCCATATTAACAACCTGACAATTGTAGATTGTGACATTTCGCGCTACCGTATCCAATATCTAAAATAATCCAAATTTTGTTATTAATTTTCCGGTTATTTACAAACATTTTGTTCTTAGAATCGAAATTTGAACAAGCAAAGGGTACATATTTTGTTGGGTACGGCTCGGTTATTTGTACAATAATTTTGGGTTATTGTGTCCAAACGCTTAACCCAAAGCAAAAAATTTTAACACACGTGTGGTCAAACAATTAAACGTTAGTTTAAAGTAAAGATTTCACATTTTCAGATACAAATTTATGAATAAATTCGGTTTGAAATATGGACCTTTTTGTAAAAAATACTGTGGTCAGCGTAGCCGGAGTTGGACTGATGACGGTTATTTTTCTTAAGCGCTGCCGAAAGCCTGCAACGTGGAAAGGTATTTTACGCAAAAATCCTGTGGTTGGCGTAACCCAAGTTTACATTTTCTCTGTCCAAATGCTAATTTTACCCCATTTTTCAATAACCGAACATTTCCCCTTTTGTTTGTGAAAGAGAAGAGGTCTAATGCTCAATAAGTTGATAATTGTGTTTCTAGTTTTCATACAAACAATAATTGTGTCATACCCCCTCCAATATTGAACAGTAAAATATATTTAGTTTTACCCAAAGAAACAACGATATTGTCGAAATATACTAGAATTGGATAATACTAATTATTTTTAAAAGGTAAATGTTAATACAGATATTTTATTTATACTCCCAAATTTAGCAGATAAAATCCCCTCCACCAAAAAATTTCAATTGGATAACGCCGCGTCGTATTTTTTACAATTGAGCAATTGTCAAAAATCTCCTGTTTAATCAAAAACTGGTTTATTGAAACTACCTTCTTTTTTGCATCATGGTACTAAGTACATTTTTTTATTGAGTTTAAAGTGGGTTGTGTTGAATGCACTGTCAAATAATTTGCGATTCATAATTCAAGTGTTTGGTAAGAAAAATATATACATAGTAGAACTCATCTTCTTTTAATAAATTTGAGTTATATATTAAATTGTGTGACTAAGTAATAATAATAATATTAGATTGGCGCTTACACATACGTTAGTGTTTGGCCGAGCTTCTCCTCCGATTTGTGGCGTGCGCCTTGATGTTGTCACACAAAGCGGAGGGACCTACAGTTTTACGCCGACTCCGAACGGCCTTTGTATTTTTATGAGAAGCTGTTTTTCATGGCAGAAATACACTCGGAGGTTTGCCATTGTTTGCCGAGGGACGACCGCTGTTAAGAAAAAACCTTTTTTCTATACTTTTTTTTCGATGTTGCTTTGACCAGGGCTTGAACCCAGGCGCATCGGAGTGGAAGCGCGCACTGCTTACCACTACACCACAGCGGCCGACAATTGAAATTTGAAAATTGTGTGACTACTTTGTCTATATTATGAGTTATTATTAAGCAGTATTGGTCTTGTCCCACCCGTGACAAAAAAAAGCTAAAAGTTGTTGTATTTAATTACAGAAGTTGAGGTTGTGTTCGTGTTTGTTACATAATGTTAGAAATTTATTGCAAATATTTACCACAATTGCATTGTCGTTTCCACGTAGTTAGACAAGAATTATTCAACAGAGAAGCATGTCCCACCCGTGACAGCTATGTGTGGGACAGTTGCCAGAGGTAGGTTTATAGAGCTGATAAGCTTTATTTGTTTGCTGAGGTGGACGCAGGGGAGGAGGGAGGGATGCGCGGACTCGACCATTATCTATATACCCTTGTGGTCAGTTAAGTTACATTTTGACCAGTTTTGGTTTTTTATTTTGTTAATCTAATGTTTATAGTTTTTTTTTTATAAAAGTCTAGCACATTACCTAACCAGAACCACATAAATCTACATTTCAAACTTCTTCCAAAATTATAAAAATTCAACAAACTTTAACAATTACGCCCAAAAATTTTAAACTTTTTGTTCAGAATTTTTAGGTATGCAGTTTTGTAGTCCATTAAATTTATGTAGCTAAAAGTGAAAATTTCATGACGCGATTTCCGTTCATTTTTAATATTTTTTTTTGGCTGACGGTGCTAAGCATTTTCTTCTATATAAAAGGCACCATCCTAAGATAAAGCGTGAGTGAATTTAACCCCCACTTAGCTTCTTATATTTTTTAATAATTAATCCTTATATATGGACCACACTAAAAGCTCCTTTTCATATAAAAATTCGTACGTGTCCTACCCGGGACAAACGTTTCCCACCCGTGACAGAGGAATTTCGGATTTTTTGTATAATAAAGCCATCATTTTTTTGTAGTTTTTGCTTTGTTTGTGTTCCTGGTTCTTTGTTTTATTATAAGACATCAAGTTCCCACAGAAAAGTGAAATAAATTCGCAGTTTCCGTAAAATATATCTGCTCCAAAAAGCAGGTTCTTTTTTTTGTCCCACCCGTAACAGAAGAAATAAATCAGATTTTTTCCATATAAAAGTAAGCTGGAATTTGTTTCGTATTTTGTAATAACTCATATAATAGTCAATTAGGTGCAGCTTTATCAAAATGTAGAACTGTTGAGTACTTTATACTTAAATTTAAACAAGAAAGAAAAATTTTTCTGTACAAATGTCCAACCCGTGACGGTGGAATCGTTCAGATGCTAAAGATTAATAGCAAAAAAAGTGAGTACCGGTCCGTCAGGTCTTGAAATCAGACGAATGTTTTGGATAATTTTATGTAGTTTTCGAATATATAACTTGATCTTTTCACGCGACTTTGCAAATATATGTAATTTTTTATTTTCAGTTTCCTTTTGCATAATTTCGCGAAAAGAATTCTTCGAATAATGAAAAAATTACACCTAAGTCATTTCATAGTATAACCTTTGTTTTCTGAGAGTGGAAAGCAGGAAACAAAAATTAACCAAATTTCCATCACACTTAATGGCTTGGCCCACATTTTTTGTGAGTTTTGGACGTTATAGTGATCCAATCTTCCCCATATTTTATATCAAGGTTATTCTAATAAAAGAGAGAGTACAAACTAAATTCCATCGAAATCGGATGAAATTTAATGTTTCCGCCCACAAGAGCAGAAGGCGCGGCAATTATTCCATCTTCACCAAATTTCATAATTCCCTATTTTTAAGTAAAACTAGAGCACATAGTTTCAGTGAAATCGGTGCAGATTTACTATTATTTCCACCTGCCTCCATATAGTCGAAACATTGCCCACCAGTACTAAAGCCACGCCACTACGACATAACGGACCGGTAACGTGACACGGAAACCGTTATCCAGCCACTGCAAGTAACGCTACCGATATTTCCAATTGTTATTTTGTTACATGTATGATAGTACTTAAGTAAGAGAACAAGTAATTTTTAGCAAAAAAAAACCGACTTCAACTCCCATATAAAAAAAATATATATATATATATCTCATGATCCGCTGATCGGATCTTAACCAGATTAGTATGAAACCACCTCTGAGACACTACCTTTATCGAAATCGGTTGACGTGGTCCAAAGTTATGCGGTAACATACATAAAAAATAAAAAAATAAATAAAAAAATATTCCGACGAACTGATAACCTCCTCCTTTTTTGGAAGTCGGTTAATAACTAAAGAGT